TCTATCATGCATGACTGATATAGCATTCAGTCCGTCTATCAACTTAATATCTTTACTATTGCAGGTATGCTGGTCAACCCGCTCCTGCATAATCTGGAGCAGATCCCAAACCTGTTTAGACGACCTATTCCTGACCTCTTTTATATCTGAGTCAAGATATTGTCTGTACTCCTGCTCCCGAGCCTTCCCTGTGTCCCAAACCTCAACTTGGGGGACATCAGCGCGTGTCCTCCGGGATGGAGGATATGATATCCATAATCTCCTTTATGAGTTCCTTGGCCTCTGCATCACGCTTGATCAACTGCTCCAGGATATCATCCACGTTCTCATCCTCATCATCATCCTCTGATGCATCCTCAGCTACATTCTTGTCCTCTGAGGCTGGGACAGTGATAGTAGGAATGTCTCCACTAACAAGAGGAGTGACATCAGCTCGATCAACTGCTTCTTCATCAGGTTCTAGTTCCTCACTGCAGGCAGGGTTCCGCGCAATAATAGGAACCCGGTTCATCTTCTTCTAAGTAGGTCTCATCCAGAAAGGTTCCCTCTGTATGCTGTCTGTGCACTGTATATAGCACACGTCCCAGGGCGGTAATGTGCAGGAGACTTGTGTCTACTCTGCTACGGCCCGGGATGTACTGACTCCTGAGATTCCGTTGTATTCAAGGGACGGTTCGCTCTTTTCAAGAACAATCCAGGATACAACAATTTCGAGGCTGCACAAAACATTGCAAAATTGCTCGAATCTTGAAGTATTACACCGCGACATTTGACAATACATTTTATCACTTTTGGACTCAAGATAAATTTGCGAATTTACTGAAAAAAATTCTGTGCGTTACAGAGCTTTTCACGGTAGAACTCAAATATAATCAATTAATATAGTAGGCAAATATGTTGAAAAACAAGAAATAGCACCAAAGATCGATACTGAACAGTAAACTGTATACAGCCTGAAACCTGGGGTTTAAACAAAGAATCTAATGGTTGATATTTTGAATAATTTTTCAGGACCACAACATAAAGCAAGATATAGCTCTTGAATAATTGAATTCTTACGTAAGTTAAAAGTGCAATAAACTATAATACCTTAAAGCTATGTGCATTTGAAGTATCTGCCCACAAGGCCCTAAAGAAAACGAAAAATGTAACCATGAAATGTATTTACATTCATTACGGAAGAAGGAAAACAATAGAATAATTTTCTTTGCAATAAATAAAAAGAAATATAAACTGCTAAATCTGTAAAACTGGAGACCGATCAAGAAAAAAAATTCCCAATGTTTTAATTGATATTAGGTCACTTGGATCCGGATCCGTGGATTTGCATATTTTTTTCGTGGATTCTAGTAGAATTCTGGTACAGGGAGCTTAAATGTTATGGATCCGGATCCTAAAGACTGCACAATGGACCTACCTGTAGTGCTGCCTAAACTTGGCAAAGGTTGAGAGCATAATGATGGATACCCCGGTACACGTGACGTAGAAGGCGTAAGGGTGAGATTCCAACCCATGGGTCAGATTCATACCAAATA